GCGGGTGTTGGGGTCGGCCCACGGGTGCTCCGGGGCCCGCCCTGGGGAGGCTGGGGCCGGGCCCCTCGCTGCACTTTCCCCCTCCGCAGCGGGGACGGGCGACGCGATGCTCCCTCGGACCCAAGCCAGCTAAACCTCTGCACCGCTCGCCGCGGACGTCGCACACCTCGGGCGCTCAGCCCCTTCTCTTCCCCTCCCCTCCACCCAGGCTCTTCCTCGACGAAGGAACGGCGGTGCCACAAACGACCGCTCCAATTAACACGAGTTTGTGAAGCAGAAAACCTCACTCCTCCACACGACGTTGTCGCTAATTTTTTTCTGGAGAGGTTTCATGTGATTCATACTGCGGGATGCTCTCGAAGGTTTGATATGAAGCAGGATTTCTTGCCTCCTGCTTTCCACGGAGCCATCAGCGATGGTTTCATTCCCAGCGCCAGCTCCCCGGGGATAAGGAGCATCCACGTTCCACAGGGTATCCACGAAGCCCCCTGTGCTACGGGAAGGGGTGAGGGTCCTGCTAAGATACCACACAGAAGCCCCAGGAGTGGGTTTGCCATGCCACAAGACTAGAATTAGTCATATGGCAAGATCTGGAAACAACGAAAAGGGGTAACTTTAGAGTGTATCGCGTTCTTCACCGGCCCAGAGTCCTTAGTCGGCCAAGCAAGGGCCGAGCAGGGCCACAAAATGAGCACGTTAACTGAGGACTGGCACAAGCTTTGCAAGGGTGAGGAAAGCAGACCTTTGTGGAGCACCCCTTCAGACAGGCAGACTCCCCATGCAGTGGCAAAAAACAAACTGACGGCTCTCTCAATGGCCAGGACCATTCTTCTTTTTCTCATTCCATCCATTCCTCGGTAGCTCACTCTATAGCAAGCTCAGTGCTACGAAGGATCTACGGGGTCTGCCCCACTAACATACGCTCGCTTTCTGCTCGAAGGAGCTGAGCTAGGGAAGCTGGGACTCAGCACAGTCCCGTTCCCAGGCCATGAAGCCTGCGCTGAGAACTATCTTCCAGTTCCAGCTACCAAATGAAAGGCTTTCCTGTCCTTGACTTTGCTTACGCGCTCCAGCAGTGTAATTGTAACGCAGGAGATATGGTTCCCTGCTGTGCTTTCCAATTGGAAAGGACACCTTTCCACCCCCCCCTTTCAGAAATGGGGAAAGCAATGAGGTCAGAGTTCAGCCAAATAAGGCAGAGTAACTCTTGAGCCCCAGAGGGTATGGCCGGCTTGCAACTACAGGCGGCGTGGCAGAACTCAGCAACGTGGCTCATTACTGTTGATAATTCCAACCTCAGAGGCCTTTTCTTCTCTCCTTGCAAGTAGGAAATATTAGGACTGGCTGCACCTCACTTTTATTTTAAGATCTGCAAATGCAAATCACTAGTTTCCTGTGTTGCTCAAAGCCTGGGCACCCCACTGGCAGTGGGTGGGCAGCAGGAAGAGTTCACTGCTGCAACAAAATATGACTCTGCTTTAATAGCCAGTACACTGAGGCAAGGCATGGTAGATAGGCAAGCGTGTAGAAGTTATCTACTGTGAGCAAACAACCGTGCAGCACGAGGCACAGCTCTGCAATTCACTCCTGACTCACTGCACAGCCCACTGCGCTCTCACAGCCTGCTCTGCCCAGTCACCTCGGCCCAGCACGGTGGCTTTCTCCCACTCTAAGGCTAAGCCCGTCCACCTGCTCCAGGTCAGGACTGATGAGTAACCAGCTACCCTGTGTTTTTTCTCCCTGCTCTGAGCATCTGACCACTGTGGAGCATGTACAAGTGAACAAGTGTGAAAAGTAAAACTGTTAAAACATACTAATCGGTTCCTACCGACACCTCACCGATGTTAAGTCAGTCAATGCCAGCTACGTGCATACACCACTAGTTACACAACTGCAATCCCCATCACTCTTTCTCATTTCCTTTCCAAATTCCATTTCAATCTCTATCCTCTTCCACAGCATTAAAATAGGTTCTTGCTTTATTTATGTATAAAGGTGCTTTGTTCCTTTCGCAGTATAGGCAAAAGAACGCACCTTTTAGCTTTTGGAAAGGTCTAAAACTGCCTTAAGATGCCTTATTTCCTGAGAATAGATATCCAGCTTTGCTAAAACATTGGAAAATCAGGGCCACTGTGCATTTGCTCAGTCACAAAATGTTTATTCTGACCATAGTCAGAGGAACACGTGACAGCGTCATTAGAGATTCCACAGACGTGTCACAAAATCTCAGGCCATGTCCCAGCAACACCCTGGGTGGAAAGAGCACGCGGGTCAATGGGTCGACACGGAGATGCACTTGCAGCATGCTTGGAAAAACTAACTTTGGACCAGATCACTGCCCAGGAGAACACGCTAAAGCATTCATGTATCTGCAAACAGAAATCGGTCAAAGTACGGAGCCGAGTGTTGCAATTCCACATCTCTGTTTAATTTAGTTATCGCTACCAGCTTATGGGAACAGAGACAGGAGAACAGAATCTAGCACAAAGTGGAAGCAGTCACCTATCAGTGCAAGTGACAGACACCAAAACGGGCACCAGGGAACAAAGGGGAGCAGCTGGTGGTCACGTTAGGCATCCGCGAGAGGAAGGAGCTGCACATGGCTGCAGGGCCGGGAGCTCAAAGGCCTTAGCTAGCTTCCACTCCAGAAGTCGCTCACGGACACAGACTTAATTATAGCAACTGACTTTCAGATCCAGAGAAGATGGGACTCATCCTGGGGCCTGATTTGCCACTGCCCTGCATGTGCACACAGGTAAGCTTTGGTGGCTTTTTGTGTCCCCTTTGCAGTTCACAGAAACGGGCCCTGGCAAAAGCTATTTATCTAGGCAGGAAAATGGCTTTGGGGTTACTTAACGCAGCTGGAACCGAGGAGCTGACAGTCTTCCTGGGGTCGCCGTCGCTCTGTTCGCTTTCTGGCAGCGACCTCAAGATTAATCCTTTCCCAATGCTAAGGCAGTCTAGGAAACAAGGAGATTCAGACGTGAGATACAGGCAAGATAAAGCTTTGCAGTTTTGAGACTAAACCACCACGAAAACCCCAACTAGTAGCTCTTAAAAGCCCGCTGTTCTCCTGGCCAACGGCCGCGGCTCAGAGGCGTTGGGCTTCACCGCTCATGGCTTCCTGCACCCCTCCTTCAGTTTTCACTCAGCAGCGCCCTCCACTCATTAGGGCTCTTCCCAGGCGTTTGCTGCCGAGGCTGCCCAGGGCAACCGCCGAATTAGCCCCGAGGGCACCAGCTGCTGCCAACGGCAACGGAAGTTTGGGCCGGCGCCC